GAGCCAAGCTTCGGCACAAATGGGTCGGCTCGACCGGAGTAATACCACGGCCGCACAGAATACCGGCGTGAAACAACCCACAGCGTTGTGTTTCGCCGTGTGACTGAGGTTACCAGAGGCCCAATCCCTCCCCTTCCCAATCCTTATATCCGCAACCCCCATCCCCAAAAGGCCGGCAACGCACTCGTAACTCCTTTGCTGTTGCGGGTGTCCATGGGCGGCGCCGATTACTTACTATCAGGTAATCCGTCTGCTCGTTTGCCGACTTATACCAGATAAAAAAAAATCTTTTCACATATTTTGGATTAGTATCCCGCTGTGTTCCTATTAGTGTGAATAGTTAAATCAATGCATACAAATTTGTAACGAACCTAATTTTTGACAGTTTATAATATTATCGAGGTCATAAACAGGTTTTTCTTATTTGACTGGGGAAAATCATCAAATGACGTCTCTCGCCCAGAGTAAGGCGAGAGAGAGTGTCAGATTCTTACTGACTAAAAACTCCCCCGTTCCTTCTCTTGCTGTCATAAACAGCTAAGGAGTGAATATCTACTTTCCTGATAGCTGGCACCATCCAAAGGTTGCCTGTAAGAAATGGCATTTACGCCCATTACTTATACATTAAATCTCATTATTTCTGTGTATATTTTTACGGTACATAAATAAATACTTCTTATAATTAGCAAAAATGAACTCAGCTCCTACAAAATGAATACATACATACATACATTATTTATGAAAGAAATAATAAATACACATTGGTTCATCATGTAAATATGATTTCATCTCAATTTTAACATTACGAAGTTGATAATAAATTGCAAGTGCGCGAGCCATCCATTATGGCCACAAATAAATACAAAATTATAGGGTCCCCACGTCACGTGTAATTAAGGAGATTGGACTGATGAGTTATTATGATAATAATGAATATAAATAAAACTCAAAATATGGACTACACGTACTCTTGAAAGTGTTGTGAGGGACTTCGAATGAGATACAAGGTTTTCTTGCGGATAATGGAAACATGGGATAAGGCTATGGGTGTGGGTTGCTAGGGACTGGTATGGTGGGAACCATGGAAGACTAGCCAACACACTGACCGGGCCTTCGGAACGGAGGGACAGTGAAAATGTGAGTGGCTGAAGGGTAAAGAAACTGCCACCAGCTTTCCACTCATATCATCTACATCTGCCTAAGCATCCTGCATCACTGGCCCACTCGCCGCTTATGAATAGCTTCCACCCTCCGAGCAGGATCACTACTCTTGCGACTCCACTCTGGGCGGCCGACCAAGCTAGAGGTGGGAGACCTGTTCCTTATCATCGTTCACTCGCCATCGCCAGCCAACGATTCAAAACTCAACGCTGTCGTTGATTCACTTCGGTTTTCTGTAAGGCCGTGGTATCACTCGGGTCGAACCGACCCATTCGTGCCGAAGCATGGCTAATAATTTTAGTCGAAAAACGTGAAGAAACACACAATGACTCCTAAAGACTATCAAGGAATAATGTTATTTAATATGATATAAAATTTTCAATACCAATTTTATCTCTAAATAAATTCGTGGTTACCCTCGCGGCGTAATATCGGCGGCGGCAACTTTGTGCCCAATCGGTCGCTTGGGATGCAATCAGTTATTTAACGCTATCCACGGTCTCAGCTCAGTGTGTGAATGTTTGACGTATCACGCTGAGGGAGACCTTTGTCATGGCTGTCAAAGATTACTTCCTTGATATCACCCCCTTAAGGACATTTTAGGCATATGAAGGGTTAATGTATATCAATATTTCATATTTATTTATTTATTTTTGGAACCATTGTTATTCGCTCACATATAGGAAGATATAGTTTTAATTAAGGTTTCGAATTTGGTCGTTTTTAATCGGATATTTGGTATTTTCTTCAGAATAAAATTAATTAAATCAGGATTTCAATAAAATTGACATCATCAGGCTGTGATTACTGCTAAGCTTAGGCTTCTTCTAACACGGAGAGATTAATCCCAATGCTATTGCTGTTTCACGCCCGTTTTCTGTAAGGCTGAGGGTATCTCTGTTCGTGCTGACCCATTCGTGTCGAAGCATGGCTCAAGAAGTCAAATTCTTACGAATTCGGTGTTCCTACATTTACGAATTTGACTAGTTGTCGAATGCCTTATTCAATTATAGCAAATTGTCAAAAAATATCCATCGTCTGTCACCTCATCAACCCGAGATATCAGACCAAATAGAGGATAGTCAGAATCGGATTTGCTTAAAAACATTCACACAAAAAAAAATCTTTATGGAATTAAAAACACCTCCTAAAAAGTGCGAACCTGGCTTGAAATAAATTGAATAACTAAATTAAGACAACTTTCGTTATTGTACCCAATCGTTCTAGAAACTCGCTTAAATAGACAGTGATGCTAAAAGTTTATTCGAAACTGTGCGGACACAGGTGTTTATTCGTATGCGAACAACGCATGGCTAATAGAACTAGCTAACTGCTTCAGTACACTACTATTGTTTTAGTATTAGCACAAAAACAAATACATTCTGAATAAAATTAAATCATGATGGCTCACATACATTAGTACACAATGGACTGTCTTAATAGTAGTTAAGTTGGTGTTGGCCTAAATTTTAAAGCTTACAAGTATTTTGGATCATTTTTCGAATACTAAAATTACTTACATTCCACTGATCCAAACTAATATTATAAATTCGAAAGTAACTCTGTCTGTCTGTCTTTTCTTCGCGCCTAAACAACTGAACCGATTTCTGTGAAATTTGGTACAGGCATATTTTGGAACTCGAGAAAGGACATAGGAGACAATTCCACGCGAACGAAGTCGCGGGCAAAAGCTAGTACTTTAAAGGGAAAAGTCATAAGCAAACGCGAACTAGCTTTTTATTATTTTTCTTTTATTTTGCTTTTGGAAGGAAAACGACTACTACTTTAGGTACTAAGCAAGATTTTTGTATGATATAATGCGACAAGCAGACGTGTCCATGGATACCCACAAATTCATAGGAGTGCGTTACCGCTCTTTTTGGAGAGGGTAAAAACCGGGCCTCGGATAACCTAACTCCATAAAACAAAACAGCGTTACTTCACACCGGTTATCTTGGAGAGCGTGGTTTCACTCTGGTCGCTTATCTGCTATGTCAAAGTCAAAAATATTTATTCGAATTAAACTATAAAATAGAATATAGCTAGTTCTAAATTGTAGTTTTGAATGGGGTACGATTAAGAAATTCCGTCGTTTGTCTTGTGTTGGGATGTTCATGAGACTGAGAACATATTTCAATCTTCTATCTTCTGAATCCCTAGTAGGGGTAACCCAGGACCCAGGTGCGTGTTAGTTAGTTAACACCTACTAGTCGATATACCGGGTCTCATCGATATCCCACAGTGATTCGATTACACAATGTGCTTAGCTGTTCATTGCTAATTGCTTTCAAAATAGACATAGGCTGATTAACTATCAAATATTTGAGGTAACCTTATCATTGAGTCATTGACTGATTTGTTCATGAAGTGCATCGGTAAATGGAAATAAGCCGATAATTATGATAGCCCAACAATAATTACTTTATGCGTTATTATCCGCAAGAATGGGTGGAAATCCTCGCAGTAATGTTGTAGATCTCACTATGCGAATATAAATAGAATTGCAATGCTATCTTTAATCTAAAAAAAGTTGCCCCAAAGTAGGTTTTTCTCCTGTATCGTGGCTGCGTTTACAAACATACAATTTCACGTGCACATGACACCCAGACCCGGAACAACAATTTGTAGATCACACAAAAAGTTGTTCCGTGCGGGAATCGAACCCGCGACACGTTGCACAGCAGCCAGTTGCCCGGTTACCGCACCAACCATGCAGTCAATGTTTCAATTTACTTAATTGATAGTTTTATTATGAAATCATGGGGAAAGCTAACAATAATCCATGTTCAACTAGTTCGATGTCTGTCATTTCTTTTGTGAAGCTTTTTTTGTCGGTGGGAAATCATCAAATTACTTTTCCTGCCCTGAGTGGGGCACGAGGAAGTGTTTCACCCCCTTCTTTCTTCTGCTCCAGTCCAGGCTACATTATTGAGGTTGCACCTGCATCTCTGGCTGTGCAAGAACCTTCACCTGATAATGACACACATTGAAAAGTATCAATTATCATTAACCATCTAACACCACTTACCCGTCCATTCGTGATGTCATAACCAAAGGAAATTTGGAAATCATTTTAATATATATAATATTTTATAAGACTAGCTACTCTATTTGATCATAGCGTGATGTTTCATGCACTCAGGAACATTGTAGCTATCTATCCGTGAAGAATCTTAGAAATCCGACCAACGGTTCCAAAGATTACCCCCTACATACAAACTCACAAACTTACAAACATACAAATTTTACCTCTTTATAATATTAGTATAGATCATGCCATGTCAAAATAAAAATAAAATATCGAATAACCTTATACCATATCCTTATACATTATCCTGTCCCCGTATTTTAATTATCACCACGCCAACCACTCAAGGACCTGACCAGGCATAATTCAAATCGCTAGCTCAGTGGCGCCCTCTCGCTGTGAGGAGTGTCGTCGAGACTTCTCGAATATTCATCAGGCAGGCTTGATTACTTCATAAGTATCTGCGTTATGTGTCTAACGGCCTGGAAGGTGGATAATCAATATATCTAGAATATAGAGGGGGGTTTGATTGAGTGTTTAAGGTATTTAATATAATTTTATTAAAGTTATACTAACTTTGCTTTCGCGTTTCATATTATTAAAGATTCTGCTTGTGACCACGACCTTTGCAATCAGGTCGAAACGTCAAGCCTTAGAAGGCATTTAAATAATTACTTTTTGTTTTAATACACGTTTGATAGTAATTATGATGTTTATTTAAGTTTTTGGTGATGATTACGAACAATTCAATTTTCGATTATACAATATACACAAACAACAGTGTTGTATTTCGCTGTGTGAGTTAAGTTACCGGAGGCCCAATCGTCTCCCTCCCCCCAAATCCCTAAACCCACTCAAAAGGTCGGCAACGCATTCATTTCTCCTGTTGCGGGTGTCCATGGGCGGCGCTGATTGCTTACCATCAGGTAATCCGTCTGCTCCTTTGCCGACCTACCACATAAAAAAGAACATGAAACAAAATAATGAAATATTTCACAGTTAGTAGAGGTATTTGTTCAGTTGTGGACTTCTTGAGATTAATAAAGAGTTTGAGTAGAACAAACTTTATTTTTTTCTGTTTTAAATCTTCATACGAGCCCTACCTAATGGTAAGCAATCAGCAACTCCAAGTGGATTTTTCTTTAAGGGAGAAAGTCATCAAACTTCTCTCACCCAGGGTCCCTACCCTGGACCAGATAGGTAGAGTTAGACTCTTACTGTAAAACCAGCCAGTTCCTTCTCCTGCTCCGGGCCGCGACGTCGTGGTACCTTATTGCGCTTGTTGCGCAATCCTGGCTGACCGTCAGCCTTGTTGGGCCCCACTCGTAGGGGTTTAAAGGCTCTTTGAGGCACGAAAATCTTGGCTAAACAAAGTGTGTGATCAGTAACGTACTTTGAAGGATATTACTGAACTATTAACTGCACAAAAAGTGCAGCAGGTATTTAATTAAGTAGAGTAATGATAGTTATTTAAATTCGAATATAGTAATTGAATAAATTTTTAACGTATATTCTCGCCACTTCTTTTTTGAAAGCAAGTTTTTATGAGTTCAATAAATGGCGAACCGAAAGAAATAAGGCGTTTCTGAATTTTAAAAAAAACTATAGTTATTTTAGTATTTTTTATTTAAATGTTTATAACGCTGTGCAATTATAAAGCAAAGATATAACAATTAGTTATTTCTATGCCAAAACAATTGTGAAATTATGGTGTGAAAACTAATAATACTAATTATAAAAAGAAAAATATTAATGGCCCATCACCGGTTGGCATGAATGTAACTACAACGGTGTCTGTCAGAGATCAAAACTAAATATACACCCCCTAGAAGGAGGAGGGTTGAACGAGGAGGGTTGAAAGGTAACAAAAACGCAAGCTTTGTTCACGACTCTATATCAGTAAAGCTTATAAAAGTTTTTAATATTAACAAAACCAGAATCTATGAATTAACAACTAACTAAACTAAAAACTACCTATTCTCATACCTACAGAAAAACACCTGAATCATACTACAAAAAAAGAACAAAAACAATAAAAGGAAAAACAAAAAAAAATCATTCCTCATTCATTCAAACTTGTCGAAAACACGAATTCAAAAGAAATGCAAATACTTTGAAAAATTCATACATTTCATCAGTACCGTCGGCAACTCAAGTACTCGGCATGGTTAGCATATCGCAGAGATGGCCTGCTCGAATATTCAACAGCTCTTTGTTGCTGACCCTACTTACGTCCTAGGGTATGGTAATGAGTGACGTCACCGTTTGTTTTTGATGGCGTTTGATTTAGCTCTCAATAAGAATACATTTTTGGATAATGTTTTTATTATGAAGGTTGTAAAGTATTGACTTAAAAAGAGTTACTAGTATAAAATATTTGATTTGTATGTATTATTTGACTGAACTGAGTTCTTCCAAATTATCTAAGAGTTATTGGAGCTATTCTATATTAGTGTAAAGTTTAAGTTCAACACTTGTCTTAAAATTTTAAAAAAGTGTATCTTACTCACCCGGGATCTCACTAACATTACTGCTTCTTTAGTAAACGCTTATGAAGGGTTGTACACCCGCCATACCTGAGGAGTTGACAGTGCGTTGGTACTGCCTGGGGGAGGGGGAGGATTAGGCGTAAGGAAAGAAAGAAAGAAGAAAGAAAAAACATTTATTCCACTAGTAGGCACACAAATACAAGTATATGTAAATAAAAAGAAAATTATACTAAGAATACAGATATTTGTATACATATAAAACGTTAAAATAATATTCATGTGCCTACGCCAAAAGGGCCTCCACCTGCTCAACGCTAATTTTCAGGTGGCAATAAGGCAACCTCAATAACAGGGCGAAACGCAATGCTGTGATTAGTCCACGCAGGTTTTCTGTGAGGCAGTGGTATCACTACGCGCCAGCCTGCCCATTCGTGCCGAAACATGAATCTCTCGTCCATAGCTATGCTCCGGTGGATGCACGGTTGGGGCCAATGGCTGGGCAACTGGCTGCTGCTCAACATGTCGTACAAGGAACAACTCTTTATGAGATCCTTTGATTGTTGTTCTAGATCTTGGTGTGGTATGTATGTAAACTTGTATGCTTGTAAATGCACTCACGAAAAAAGAGAAAATACCTACTACTCAATAGCAACGTTTTTTAGACCATCAGAAGCACGCCAAGTAATATTCTGTGCATTAGTAATATTCTCCTTTATGTTGGCACACTTGGCACGTCATTCTACCAAACAAAGGAAAATAAAATGTCACCAAAGACAAAGACTCAATAGGTGACAAAAGAGGTAACCTATTGATAAAAAAATGAATTGATAAAAAAATGAATTATGTTCTTTATAAACTTTCTTCTTTGTACATGATCAATCAGGCGTTAAATATTAGTAAAAGATGCCCAAGTATATTGGAGACCTAATTATTTAACAATGAAACGTATTATTCAACAATGAAATGAAAGCAGTTTGTTAATAATTGTTAATATTAAATGGAATTAAATAAAATGTACACGAAATAGGTATAAACGTAATTTAATTATTTCAGTCACATATGTTTCTAATTATAATTATTAATAACAACAAAACGGAAATATATCACACTAGATCTATATTTACAATTTCTAAAATTATTATTATTATAAATTCCATTGATTACAAACATGGAATGAAATATTAAAAAATTGCAATGATATTCAAAGACTAGCAGTATTCTTTTTGGGGATAGTAAAAATAAGGGATTGGGGTTTTGGATATGTGGGGATGGGGTAGGGTTAAGCTTCCAACACCTCACTTACATGAGGAAACAAAGCTATCGTTATCATAGGCCGGTTTCCTACGAGACAAAAACATCCCTCCAGTCGAACCAGTCCAATCATTCTTTAATTACATAATTCAGCAATCCTAGAAAGATTTCTAGGCTGACTGAATTACAAACTAATTGAATTTTCGCGAAATTATAACAAGAACACGTCTTGTTACGTTTCGCCAAATTCTACGAGCTAGTTTTTAATCATCGAAATTTTTCTTCAGGTCCTCATAAATGTTAGGCTGCTAGACTAAAATCTAACAGACTCATTCATATACCCTGTGATTTCTGAAACATTCGTAGACCCTCTTGGTAAGCATTTGTCTTTCAGAGACCCATAGTACCACCAAGACCTGAAATTTTCATATGTACTGAAAGTGGTGAATTTTTTCTTGTCATTTAGTAATTTGCAAAGATCGCAATAGCCTTTGAATTCGTCAGCTTTGACAATGGTATAGTATTTCTTCCAGTTGAAGAAGGCATTATAAACTGCTGGGTTTGTGATAGCATAGTGCAGGTACGCAGCCAGCTTATCTTCTGTGTAAAACTGATAATTGATATAGGAATTCTCTGGAAGAAATCTGAAAGAAACAAAAATATAGAGAAGTACTTATAACTATCGGGGTAACAATAATTCGTGGAATCGGTCAATCGGCCAAAATCAGTCAAAATAAAGTGAAAATCATTTATTTCAATTAGACCCTTACAGGCATTTTTGAACGTCAAACGAAGTTAAAAGATAAAAAGCGTCCGTCTGTCGGCTAGTCAGTCTTTTTAGTGAAGCTATTTGTAAAATAAATCATGACTGCATGTAGGTACGCTTATTCGAAACATCAACATCTATAATCTTTTCTTACGGAACCAAGTTTTGACTATATAAGTATGTTGATTTGAAATATCGAGTGAAGTCACGACTCTATATGTATATTTAATAATAAAAGATGACGTAGCAATCTTGAGGATCTACTACTCTTTTTTTTGAGTGATTAAATCATAAATCATAATCATAATAGCCATGCCGATGCACCAACAACGCAATTTAACTAACGTACACAATGACATTAAAACACTTTTTCAATCACTACAATTTCCTTATACTAAAACAAACTTATGCAATATAAATTTAATCTATCACACCCAACAACTCATCTATAGATCTATCTATCTTTAATTATTATAACAAAAGCCTATATTTACCTGGAATAGTCAGCACCTCCAACGACAATAGGCACAGCCTCATTATAATAAGCCTTCAACACTTCAGCCGTCACGTAATCCTCAGTCATACTCCCTTCATAGGCCAAATAAAAGTAATATTCTTTCTGGATAGTCTTCGAACATCCATCCTCAGAACAGTTCAAATTACCACAACCGTACATATCAAGTGTTAAATTGAATTGTTTTAAAGCCTTGCGTAACTTCGGCACTGCAAACATAGTGTACGCGTTTTGACCACAATTGTCCAAAACCCAAGCTATAGCTTTTGTCTTAGTTATCACTGCGGCTACGTCGCTTTTTGTCGAAGTTCTCAAGTCGTTCTTCCAAATCACATTCCTGTTTGGAGCCACAACGTTTCCAACAAGATTCTTCACTTCAATAAAAGGACTGTAGATATCTGAATAAAATTTATAAGTCCACGTCCAGTTGAAGAAGTTATCAATGCGGCGGTTGCATATAGGATAGTTGTCGGACGGTTGCATTCCGTAAAATACATATTTCTGACGTTTCGCCCTGCGATCTGGGAGTTTAGTGTAAACGCCGCGTTCCCAGAATATGCTCATGTTAAACACAATGGCGTCAAAATTCACATAGTCATCGTTTAGTATCGTCTTGTTTGTTGTAATGTAACAGTTTATTTCAGGACAATCTCGCTCTATGAAGGCTTCTTGCCCTTCGTACTGTAAAATACTTTCAGCTTGTACTGAGTTAGTTGTCCAGACAAGGATGTACTTGAGGTCTTTGTCGAATCTCTCAACCACAACATCGTAGTTCTGCATTTTATTGTTTTCTTGATACTTTCCCATTTCGGAAACAGTGGTGTACGCAGTGTGGAACGAATAAAAAGCGAGGGCCACGTACATGAATAGCCCAGTAAAACTGACTATGAAAAATAATTTTGCAAAAGTTTCTGTTCGGGAGACTAAATACATTTCTTGTCGGTTCGTTCGCGCCGCGTCTGTTGAACAATGGAAAGAAACGTCGGCTTCATCTCGATAAATAAAGAAGAATGCGTCCGCTGTCTCATTAGATGACGGCGGTAAACAAAAAATTCTTTTGATTTCAAATAAACAAAGCGAGTCAGTACGCTGTGCACAACTGCCTCAGCGAACAGATTCTTCGAGCATTACCAGGAATCGAGACGGGCACACAATTCTGGAATCCTATTTCAAATTCGGAGTAAAATTATTTTCAAACAATGTCAGTTTTTGAAAAGACGTTGACGTTGATGCTAATTTACAGATTTTATTAGAAATTATCGTTTTATTATTTTATCTATTATATTTATTATAATACTATAAAGAATAAATTGAATTATTGAATTCAATAAAGAATACTCCGCTTGATATTTACGTTCAGTTTAAACTAATAAAAATCAACAAAATTTAGTGTCGGTTTACACAATCAGTTTTTTTTTTTTTTATAAAACAAATGACGGACTCTAGGATTTTCTCCAATATTTAAGGTTTGTTTGCAAACTATAACATAATTTCACATGCACATCACACCACACCCGCAACAACAATTTGTTGATCACACAAAAAGTTGTTCCATGCGAGACGTTGCAACCATTTGCCCAGCTATGGCGCCACAAATTTCATAGAAACTAAGTTCTATATTCAAATTGAACAGGTACATACAGGCTATTCAATCACAGTGAAACGGACCCTTAATATTACAAGACAAGATCGGTAACCAATGAGGTTGCATAAACCGTCAACCATTGGAATGCTGGCATTCTCGTCAAATTCCACGAATACCGGTAGCTTAGAATGTTTGCGGTCACCGTCTTCAATTAGTATTTACCTTAATATTGCTACTGATTACCTTTAAGGTATCTTGTACATAATCAGTGGTTAATTATGATACTTATGATACAAGGCTGTGTTTATCGTTATGTAAAATTATCATCGTATATATGTTAGGCGAAGCGGGTCGAAGGTACATTGTGTAGTGAAGATATTTAATATCACTTTTGACTTTTGAATCACATCACATGAGTGTATAAGTGCCCACTGCTGAGCAAAGCCCACTTCTCCCACAGAGAAGGTTTGAGCATTAATCACCAAGCTTATCAAATGCGTAGAGGCCATTTCGAACTTATAATTAGAAATAATAAGTCCAGCTTTCCTCATTATGTTTTCCTTGACTGTGTGTCTGTGGTGTCTTTAAGATCTTAGAAAATACGTATGACTGATATTACGACAGAAATGGCAAAGATTACAAATATAGAACTTCACATACACATTACACAGCTGGTGGTTACCCATCCACTGCGCCAACTGTGCATTCAGGAAATATATTCATATTGAAATATAATATATTTAGCTGAAGTTATAGCTTCTATAGACACGTCTTTGCCTGTCACGTGCGCGAAAGGGGTATATTTTTATGGAATACGTAATTCTGTTTGACTTCATACGCGGTGTCCATATTTGCCGAAGACTCAACGTCCTACATGCAAAGAGAATTGTTTGTTTTCAATGTTCCGTACGTCACGGGAATTCGGTTGGTAGCATTCAAAGGAAAATATTGGTATTTCTTTTTGTTTTTTTTTCACTGTCGGTAGTGTATTTTTTTGGTAATATGTGTGTCTGTGTAAATATTATGTCGAGTTTTATACGTTTTTTTACACAATTTTTAGCTCTCTCCAACGTTACGGCCAGGAAATCCAATATGGAAGGTAGAACTTGCACTATATTGAAAAAAACATCTTTTAATTTCGCAGTTCTAAAAATAACCTTTACAATTTTACCAATAACAAATACCACATAAAAATGTAACACTAGAAAAACTACAAAAAAAATACAAACTAAACGTCTTAAAATCAATGGAACTTCGCACCGCCTCTAACGAAACAGGTCTTAGCAAATAGAGGGAGACATCGGCTGATAGAAAAATTTTCTCGAGAGCTTTTTGGCTGCGAACAGACAGACAGACGGATCTCTTTGAGAGGTCTCAACGGAACATTTTATGTTTGGCATAAAGAAATAGGACAAATAAAGTTGTCGTGTGTCGTCTTTGAAGACTGCACGCCGAATGGCATTTAGTGAAGCGATTCTTTTTTCGAAACTTTCTTTCTTTTTTAAATCTTCGATTTTATTAGCTGCCATCTTTATTTATTTTTTAGCTATTTAGGTCGCTTTTGTTTTACAACCTTCTTACTTTATATTCAGCTCATAATGGTAGTAAACACATCTATAAGAGAAATTCAAGCATAGAACTGATATTTTAAATTTTAAACGGCTACCGTGATTGGCCAATAAGATCTTAAATTACATTAGCGCAATCTGGTGGTGGTCACAAAAACATTGGGCTTGATTACAACAACGTTGTTTATAAAATTATTTCATTACAAATTTATACTATCCGTAAACAATTTGTGTTTAAATAATATTTGTTTACAAATAACAACTACTTCCACTTATTATATACGTAATACTAACGTGAGTCAAAAATGTTATATTTTGATTAACTACTAATTACATTGCGAAGACTCAGTTCAGTCGATCAATGTCAATGTCTAAAAGTATGTATTTAAATTTTAACTCGTCAGTCAGTTTTTGGTAAAATAGAATACATCGACTTTTGAAATCCGCAAAAATAAAAAAAAATTGTCATAGAGTGCTTTCATCCATTTAATTTACCTACAATAAACCTACTTGCTTAATATTGGTTTTTGTTTTTCTATTGATATTTTTCATAAAATATAATATTCTATTTTACGTTCAAAATTCATACAAGATTTTACAAATAAAAAAAAGAATTTAATTTGACTTGTAAAATACCCGATTAGCAACATCCATAGCCCATAATCCACCATTGAATTATGGTCTTCTTCATAAGAGGGCTTTTTATATCTCATAGAATATCAGATCTGAAAAGGCAAGACTTTTTTAGAAATCAATCAAATCTGTCTTTTCCTATCAATTGTTCTTTAGTTCCTCATTCGAGTCTTATTGGACCCACGGAAAGGGAAGGAATGCTGAAAAGTTTTCTTTATTCTTTTGTGATATTTCGGCAAAAGAGCAGACTGATTTACCTGATGGTAAGCAATTAAAAACAACAGGGGAGTTAAGAGTGCGTTGTCTTCCTTTGGGGATTAGGGTTTCGAACACTTAACAAACAGGGGAGGGGATCGAGGTTTGGCTGCAGAAAAAAATAATTTTTGTTTAATAACATAATTAATACTTCTAACATCGTACAGCTCAAACGAAGCTGGTCAATCTAACATACACTATGACCTGCCACTGTAACCCAACCCATTGGTAGTCTAGCATACTAAACTACAAGTTCTAGGGATAAAGTTATACATCCAGCATTCGCGTCCTATAAAATGTAGGTTGTATTCACATCCGACATGTCGTTTGTCATCGGAACATTGTTTCGGAAACGGCCGATAGGATGTAATAAATGACGATTGGGAAAATTCGTGTATCCTCCTCTACCGCCTCTCTTCGCTTTTTATTTTGTCCCCGGTACAAATTGTGAATTGGTTTATCAACGGGTTGTTATCGTTTGAATATATTTCTGTGAGATTTATGTATTTTTATGCACGATTTTTTCTGTCGTACAGGTTTTCAGGTATCGGACGTTTTGCTGTTGGTTTCTTTTCTGTGTGTTTTTGAGTTGAACTTTTCTGGGTAGATTAAGTTTAGATAGATCAAGGTTGTTCAAATGTTCAATTAATTAAAGAATTTTGTATTGGTACTCCTTGGACGATTAAAAGCTCCTGTCAGGTTCATTTTCACTTAAAGTAACTCGTCATATATTTTTTTTAGATTCGAGCTTTACTGCGCCGGATTATGTATCCCGCTTTCTGATTAAGGCTTTCATTTTGGGTAAGAAAAAAATACGTGATTTAACACCGAGCACCTCGCTTAGGTAACCTAGCTACCGTCTTTAAGCAATTTCATATAATAGTCTGTTATAAAGTTGTGATTATGATACTTTCGTGTTATTGTTATTTTAAGACCATGGTATCGTGTAGGGCAAAGAAACGGGCTTGTTTTTAGTCAATAAAAGTCTGACACTGCCTCACGCAATAATCAAATAATTTTATCAACTAAATGACTATGCTATTATGCTTACTAGCAAGCAAATCGTACGCATTGTTTACTACCGATACAAAAATAAAAATAATAAATAAAGACACAATACATCTTTACATAACACAACATGTAAACAAACTTGCAACCATAATTTAATAAACCAAAGACGTGGTGGCGACTTTAAAAAACGCGGTAATAAGCATGCAGCCCACCTGAGGAGAGGGAAGAGGGGAGTTACTCCAAACTTGGAAGGAATGAGGTAAAATCGAAGTTCTGAAGGCAAGTTTAAAAAGTCTAATTTTCCTTCATACGCGACTGGAGTACATGAGGCTACGGCGCCGGCGGATTTTGAATAGTGTGGATGTGAATTAACTAAACTTGTGTATAGGCAATTTTAAACGATCAATTTTTGTTTATATGTATTCACAGGATCTCGGAAACGGATCTGGCGATTTCGATAAAATTTTATCTATTCTTTTGTTTTTTGACGAAAAGTATTTTTTCTTTGTCGCAAAGGCTGACAAACGGGATCTCGGATTACCTAATGGTAAGTAATCGCAGCCCATTGACACTCGTAATACCAAAGAAGTTATTACAAGTGCGTTACCGGGCTCTTGTGGCTTATTAAGTTTTAAAAATAGGAAATTTGAGGTGCTTGATGTGTAAAATTTCAATTTTATGGCCTATTTGCAAAAATAAATTTCATTGTTGCATTGAGGATTTAGGAT